GGATCAGCAAAATAAAATATCAAATTAAAAAAAAAAAAAGGGATAGGAAATGAAAAAAAAATAGATCTATGAAAATTAAAAAAAAAACCCATGTGCTGTTTAAGATAAAAAAAAATCCACAATTATTGAAATGACAGGCAATTAAGTTCCTCAGTATTTATGTGTATATATTACGAAAAAGTCTAGCAAGTCATGAGCGGAAAATCAATTTTCGGTAAACAACATTGATTTATACTAAAAGTGAAAATGTTATGTCTTATCGAAAACAGAAAATTCTTTATCTGGCTGTTACTGAATATATTTAATAAAATCTGATTTGATTAAACAAAAGTTAAATGTAAATTATAACCGAAACTTCTGAAAGTTTGCTAGACGGAAGAAATTATTGTTTGAGTATGTGCGCAAGGAATCATAATTACTTTTTTATAAAATACATGAGTGATAAAAGCCAAAAATACAGAATAGTTATATTGTAATTAAGCTTACGAATATCAGAATGTAATTATTCAGAGCTGAAATTTTAGACAATCAAGTTGAAAAATTAGACATGTGGCAAAAACTAGAAGGAATACAAAAAACATGGTATAAAACTTCCTCGTCGCATGATTTCTGCCTCTTTTATTTTTCTAGTGGCACACCTTTTTATATTATTTTTTAAATCATCCCTTTTTTTTTATTTATTTATTCACATATTTAAGAATTTTATTATTCATTTATAATATTTTATATTATTTATTATATCATACCACATTTTTATATATTTTTGGTAACGACAGCGCTCCCTTAGAGAGAAAATAATATTTTGTCAAAATATATTTATTGAATATTCGACATAGTCACGGTTCTTTTTAATAACATCTTTCGCCATGTTTTCTGACTCCTTCTTAATAAATTCGATGATTTCTCTAATTTTATTGGTTTGGTTTTCCTTGATTTCTACCTCTTTTTTGGAAGTTGTCTCATGTTCTGAAGATAAGATAATAGAGCCATGGAGATAATGGAGATGTCGAAAGAATAGTTTGAGTTTTGCTACATTTTTCAGCGGAAAGTACTGAAACAACTCATCATTTGTAAAGTTGTTTCAGTTATTTTCTCTTCTTTAAACATACAACAAAATCAATAATATGTTAAAAACTTTACATTTGCAGTTTCATTGATTCAAGTAATTTTCTAAGATTCTCAATATTTAAACTGGCAAATTGAAAGGCGTTTTAAAAAGAAAAATAGAAAAACACATTTGTTTCTAAAGAGTTTTAAATCGATAAGTATTTAGAATAAGATCATTTAAAATAATGGGTGCTCTTCCCATTTTTGTTAATTAGATCATTTGAATAAATTTTTTTCTTGCATTTTCTTTGTTGTGCCAACGATACAATAAAGTCATTTTACGCTGTGATGACACGATTTTCTTAAAAGCGATATCTTCCTTGTCTGATGGTGTCATTAATTCTTGTAAAGACGCTTTTTCAACTTGACGCAGCAAATTATTCTGTTTTTGGGATCTCTTCATTAATTCCGCTCCAAAGACGAAGAATGTTTAATTCTTGAAGCCGAAATTATATTATTCTTATTATCTTACATGGAAAATGACATACAGGGTGATTATAATTAAAGTCCCACTTTCAAAATGCTGTAAAAAAAGGAACACTCGTCACAATCAGTTCAAATTTGAAATGAAGATACTGGAAGAAGACGGAAAGTGAACGGTATCAAAAAACAGTTCCAAAGTGTATTAATAGATGGCGCTGTAAGCGGCATCAAGAAAGTGAATTCGGCCGCCAGTGATATTTTGAATAGCAATTGCAAGAGTTCGCAATTGACCTGAGTTTCAAATTAAACCAACTGTTTTGGCATGATTTTTTGACGGAAAAAATGACTTCCAAGTCATTCAGCAGTTGTGACATTGTTAGTGGAAAGCCCTCCACGACTGCAATGTCATACTAAATTGAATGGGAAAAAATCGGTGGATTTTTTTTGGGAACATTTTTTGATGTTATATCGTTTCTCTCTTCTTCAAGTATCTGCAGTTCAAATTTGAACTCATTGTGACGAGTGTTTCTTTTTTTTACAGCATTTTGAAAGTGGGACTTTTAATTATAATCACCCCATATTTTAGTGACTGAAATTAATGGCAAGAAATTTCCATAAAGAACCTAATACTGCCTGAAGCGTAAAATAGCTTAGTAAAATAGTTGGATGCAGTAGAAAATCATGTATAAAATATCTTAAAGTGTCCTCCAATCGAGCACTAAAACCTCACTTTATAGAATGCTAGCTACAATATGAAGTATGGTCTCCTGCTAACTCAAGATTTTTTTGTATAATAGGTTTACTCATTCATGAGTTGATGGCCAAAAGTGTTACAAGTGGTCTTCTTGAGAAGCATCTCTAGCCAAACGCTAAAAAAATTAAATATTAAACAATTCATCTGCACAAACACATCCCATCTAATATATTCTCTAAGATACAAATAATTCGCTTAAAAATCGATTGACTCATAAGATTAACAATAGAAATTTGAAGCAAACCGGTCACAGTTGCAATTTTAAGACAACTATCCTTCTGAATAAGGACGATAGTTTAACCAAATAGTTAAATAGTTTAAGATATAGGGTCCTATAAAACTATATTCCTTTTTAATTTTATAATAAATATCACAATTAAATCAGCTAAAGCAATAAAAGTATTTCAACTTCAAATGCTGAAATTTGTAAACTGTTATATATAATGTTAATTTTTTAAACGCTTCTGTTTACAGAGATTTGTAATTATGAATTTGTTAAATGTTAACTAATAGAAATTATTGACGAAAAACAATGTCACAAATGAATTGCTACATTGTTATAAATGAATTGTTAAAAAGAAAAAAAAAAGTACTAAAGAATTATTGAAAAAGTGAAAAAACTTTTTTTATTTTCT